AGATAATAGGTATTCTAGTGGTAAATGAACCAGGAGGTTCTCTAACTTAAAAACTGTCCTGAAGGGCAATGAAGATACTGTGTTGGGAATTGATGACTTCCAAGAAATAATTTCAAACATTAGACCTGTGAAATAGATGAATGTAAACAATTCCGAGCTTGCAGGATTCCAAAGCTGATGGAGAAATTCGTACAGTAACTGTGGGGATGGATAGTGCTACTGACCGGCTGTGGGCACAATTCAACAGCCGCAGCAATACTGAGGGTTCTGTTCGGTTATGATAGCCCTGATTTGGGAGAGTGGTGGGGTTGAAACAACTTATAGTTGAACTTGAGGTTAATGAATGCCAGAGTCTTTGCTCCCTTTTTCAAATGTGCTTTCTAACCTTGAGATAAAAATGAATGGCCATTACAGCTAAAAAATTAAATTTCTCTTGGAATCTGTGTGTCTGATGTCCGTCAAAAAACCCTATGAAATAGTCTTATGTATTTGACTTTGGAGCCTAGAATGTTACATTTTTCCTTGCACTAAGGCTCAAGTAAATATATAACAATGTAACAAAACAGTCCTAAAGCTGTTCAAGTCATTGGTTTTCTTGTTTTTTCTTGTTATTTTTGGGGTTTTTTTTTTGAGTTAGGACATACCGCCAGTTTAATATTAAACATACTGTCAGTTTGACTTTAAGTAAAATACTGTGTTAGCAATTGGTCCCACCTACATGATTGCCTTTTTCTATTTTATCAGTAAGAAGTATTTATCTCCCTCTGTTAAACATGTGAATTGCTAGGTCAACAGTCTAGGTGGTTCTAGGTGATTTACAACAACAATGTAAAACTGTGTTTCTCTTGCTTATTACATAAAGTTACCTTCTTGCGGCTGGGAGAGGCATGCTGCCTTTAAAAAAAAAAATTATTTTTTATATCTCTTAAACTTCAACTTTCTGGGACTTATTCAGCTGCCTGCTCTAATAGCATTACATTGATTTGGGACATCATATGATTGAGAGCTGTTCAAAGCAATCTTTCATTCGTGCAGATAAAGCCAGTTTGTATGTGCAGGATTTCAGAATGACAGCTTTTATGCTGTAAGCAGTGGCTTTTTGAGCACATTCATGTTAAGTAGGTCTGAAAGTCATTACTTTTGGATATGATGGTTAAGCACTTTAAAAAAAAATTTAAAAAAAAATCAGCTTTTCTTATTTTCCTGGCTGCTAAGCCAAACGGAAATACTCATGTGACTTTTGTTGTTTTTTATTTTAAAGCAGCAGTAAAGTTTACACTTGAGATTTTTAATATTACATCTACTATTTTCTCCTTTTTCTTTCACACTCCTTCCCCCCCCAGTTTGTACTACTAACTTTCTTTACACAGTGTTATATTTTTGGTAGGATATTTCATATATAAATTGATTGAATTCTTTTATACTCTGTTTCCTAGAGAAATGTGGAAGCACACGGTCTGTGTTGAAGAAGTAGAATTCTTTTTGCTGCTAGTCTTTCATCTTGGTTTATTTTTGCCTTTTTGGTACTCTGTACTAACTACGACGGACTTTGAAATACTAGTTGTTTGTATCTTTTTGTGCAAATAAAGATTTCTTACTGTGGGGTAGCATTCTGATTCATATTTATACTTACTAGGAAACCTCTAAACATGGAAAGTCAGCTCTAATAAAGATTGTCAATAAACAGTGAACAGTGTGGTTACTTAATTGCTTCATTTATAGTAGTTTTATACTCCTGCTGTTCTGGGTATGTGTTCAGAAGCACCTGCTTATTATTCCTCATTATGCCATTTGCAGGAAAACAGCATCAGAAAGATGTTATCAAAGCAGTGCTGTGCTGAATTACAGAACAAATGAACTGCAACTGCTGAGAAAGGGTGGAGTTTCAGCTCAGTCAAAGCCTGCTGAAGTATATGGAAACTAACTCCTGCTCGTTGCAACGGAGTTTCTTGGATGGGTGTGCGTGGGTAAGGCTGGTGGGGATGACTTGCTGTCTTTGTGGGGAGGCTTTCGGTTGCCTGCGCTGGCCACTCTTTCAGCTTCAGCAGGCACGGTGTTGGATTGCTGTTGAGCTGGAAGATTTCCTTAGCAAAGGCAGCGCAGTGCCTCACCATGGAGAGAGCTGGGTGTCTCACCTGATGAGAGTAGCCGTGTGCACTAGTGGTAGGATGTGGATGTCTCGAAGGCAAATTTAAATCGCAGTGTGTCACTTGCAAGGGACCTCCAGGAGGGCTGGGAAAGTTGTAGCGCCAGCGCGTGAGGTGCGGCTTCAGCTGCAAAACTAGGAATGGTTCTGGCTGCCTGTATGCTTGGGAGAGGGACTTGAAAGGGAGTAAGCACAGGAGAAGGGCAAGCCGAAGAGCAGGGGATTCATCCAATGAATGGAGGAGAGGCTCCACTAGTTGAGGGTAATTCCACCAGTAGCCGAGGGTGGAAATGAGGGTCTGTAAGCACACTTGGAACACAATCTTTTGGAGGGAGAGGCTGCTAAAGTTTGCAGGTGGTTGAAAGGCCTTGAGAAAAGAGAGTACAAATGGGGCCTTGATTGCAGCTGAGCTGGAAAGGGGAGGCTCTGGCTCCTTGGTGGAGGTAAGGTTTGGGGACTGGTAGCAGGGAGATGGAGCAGCTGAGCCCAGGTCCCCTGCTGGTCTGTGATGGGACATGCAGGGGGGCTGCCTGCACAGGTTGGGAATGGGAGCAAGTAGTGGGATGGCAACAGAGACTTGCTTCTGAGTTACTTAAAAGCACCTGCTTTCTTCTGGGAGGGTACCTGAATTGTGTGATGTGGTGGATGGTGTTGAAGTAATCCTGGTTCAAAGGCTGTTTACAAAGCTTATGTGGTATTTCAGGCTGAGTGAGGCCTTCTGTTTAGCACTGAACAGGGGACTTTTTTCTTTAAAACAAACCAAAAATACTTGGGTTTTGTGTAATGGCTGCTTTTTTTCCATCTTTATTAAATGCCCGCTACAATCACAAAATGGCTTCAATTTCCTAATGTTTTGCTTCTGGTGCTTCCTGTCCAGCTAATCAAGTACCATCAAATCTACTTGCATTTCTGCTAATTCATACGTTAGTTTTCATGCCCTGAATATAGAGTTTCTCTGGAGTGATAAGCTGTGTGATCAGCAAAGTCACTGCACTCCTAATCAGAACGTAAGTGTAACTTACCAATTTTTGTTCATATTTTAGTGTGGATTTTCCTTCTGGGACTGGTGTAAGCATTTTTAGCCTGATCTTCGTTAAGTTTGTGCAGGATGCACCTTCTGTATTTTTGCCAATGTAAAAAG